CGCTGGTTTTGGGGGTTTTTAAAAAGTGTTTATTTTTAAAAATTCATCAAGGCCTCTCCTTATATCCTTTCAAGGAGGGAAGTCTGTCCCTTTGGGATCTAACTTTCTGATAGATCTGTACTTTATACCTTAAAGACAAATGACCCAGTTTTTTTGGTTTTTTTTGCAAGAGATAAAATTAAAGTCAAAATGATAAACTATCACATCTTATTAAAGATGAATATAAATTATTTACATAATTTTTTCAATCTCATGGACTTTTGCATTTTTTTCATTTGTGTACGTGTTAACTGCAGGTGTGAATGCTTTTGTCTATTCTATGATTTTATTTATATAAATTTTTCATCTAACATTCTCATGATTCTACTGTTTTACACTTTCACTTTCCATATTTCTGGAATTCATTCTCACAGGGATTTTAATTTTTTCCTAAATGACTTAGTTGTCTCAATCCTTGCATTGTATTTTAAAATCACCCAATTTCATCCATCCCCTACCTCCTTCATTTGAACCATAATTTTATTTCACCTGATTTATTTCTACCTTCCTGTAATCAGTAATCCATTATCTCTACTCTACCACCACCAGCAGCACCCCAAAAACAGTTATTTAGGTTGGTGACAAGGGTCCTTTCAGTAATTCTTTGTTTCAGAATAAAATTCACTTTTTTTTTTAGCCCATTCACAAAGAATGTTCCCATATAAACAGAGAAACAATTCAAAGTGAAAGCAATACTACAAACAATAGCACCTGAATCACAGGCATAAACCAGGATATCTGGCCACCTAGATCAAAAGGCTCTATTGTCCAGTTCCAATAGAATTACAGTTTCCTATTTCACAAGCTACTGTTCAGCCATATTGAAATTACTCTGTATTTTCAAGCTTGACAATTCCTTTTTGCTTTCCTTTGGGGGGATTTTACAATCTACTTTATCTAAAATAGTTTTCTCATCTTTCCCTCAACTCTTTGAATTATGGTACTGGCAAAGTGTACTGAACATCCCATGGACAGTCAAAACTATTCTGTCTTAAAGGAAGTACAAGCAGAGTGCTTCATAGAGGCAATGTTGGTGAAACATGGTTTCCCTTTGGTCATGTTCTCAGGAAGCATTAATTCTTAAAGAGACACATCATACTGTGAAAGGTGGAGGGTCAGAGTAAGTGAGAATGACTTTCAACAAAATGGACTGAGCCAGTGACTATCAAAATGGGTTTGAATGTGACAGAGATCATGAGGACAGTGCAGGATGGATGGGGCCAGGTTCAGATCTATTGCATTCATAGAGAAAAATATGGTGCCTAGCAACAAACACCCCCAACTCACCCTCATTTCTTGGACTCCTCTTCTGGGTACCTCAAACTCAACCTTTAGAGTCTCACTTCTATGCTATTTCCTAAGGAAAGTTTTCTTCAGCAGTCCCTTCCCACAACCCACCCTACACTACCCACCCAGCTTTGGATTTAGCACTCATGGTGTGTCACACCTCTAATGTGTTTTTCCTTTTGAAGATCTGACATTTCTATCACTTTCATTCTCTACCATTGCTATCGTGCTGAAACTGACTCAAAGCTGATCTTCCACTGGGTCCCCAAGACTGGAAATAGCATGGGAGGAGATTGTTTCTCTTTCCTGGTGGATTTGAACTACCAGAGTGGCCTGGCCTTTGGGTAAGTGCAACTCCCTCAGAGATTGCCCAATAACTGAAAACTACAGTTTATGTACTTTCTATGTCAGCTTAAAGCCATTTATAGAATTCGTATTCCACTGTTACCTAAAAAGTTTTTTCCAGTTCACAAAACAATGATGGGTCATATCTGAAATAGTGTAAAACTTATTTTGAGGCTAGACTTCTCAAAGTGATTAACTATAGATGTGGTATCTAAAGTGATGGTTAATATAAATTATTTTAAGAAAATTAACACAAATTTTGGATTATAAAAACAAGCAAGATATTGTCTTCCCAGTACTGGCTAACTAGAAATTCCCATTGCCAACTGCAATACCACATGGCTGGACACATGTTTCCTCAATATACATCTTTCTTGCTGTCCTCTCACTTTTGAGTCACACTACAATATGAAATGAAAAATACAGAATTATCTAAAATATTTTCTCCATAATAAAGTTTAACTCTTCAAATATCATAAAATTTTGTCAAAGTTTCATAAAACCACATTAAGCCTCGCCTTCCTCACCAGCCAAATACCAGTTTCTATCCAGTATAATCTCTTTCTTATTAGCTGTTGCATTTCAAAGATCTTTGGATAGAATACCAAAATTCACTTTTTTTTTTTTGTCAGAAATATTCTTCTTTGGTTTCTAATACTTTCCTCTATTCGAGAGAACACTTTCAAAAAAGAGTTTAATGATATCTTTGTAACTGCTATACTCTGGTTGATGCTAACATTTCAACAGTCTAATGAGCAGATAGATCTTCAGAGCATTCTCTATGAAGTATCATCTCTGAGCTCTTAACCTTTATGCACACTTAACCTTGAATACCAAGCAGCTGTTCTGTTCTAATCTGATCACCTTTTTTCTTTCAGAGTAAAAATTAAATGAACCTCTAAAATTGTTGTGTACTACAGAGTCAGAATTGACCCACAGCTGACCCTCCAATGGGTTTTCTAGAGGCAGTTAATTGCACGAGAGGAGCTGGTGGCCTCAAACAGTGTGCCTTCATGATTGCAGTGCAGCTTCTTGCTGCGAAGCCACCGGAGCTCCCTACAGGACCTCCTACAGGAACTCAAGAAACACAAATCCTCACATTATTTATTATAGTCCCATTGTCTTTTAAAGTAATACGTTCATGTGTTGGTATTTAATCTTTACTTGAAACAAACAAAACAAGCAAAAAACATCTAGTTGCTACTGTTTAATTGACTCTGGCTTATGGTGAACCTCTGTTGGGTTTCTGAGGCTATGCACCTTCATGAAAGGAAATTGGTTCACTTCTCTCCCTCAGAAGAACAGAATTTTAATTTCTGAGCTTTCAGCTAATAGCCCAACACGCCACACACTCACAACCATCGAGTTAGTTCCAACTCACAGTAATTCTTCATCAGTAACTAAAGCTTAATGGGAGAAGACTGCCCATCTTTCTCCCTCAAGGTGGCTGGTGTGGTGTATTCAAACAGCTATGGACTATACCACCAGGGCTCCTTACTATGTCATTAGTGTTTCTTATGTCTATCTGCGTGTCTAAGGTTTATCATTCAGATGTCTTCTCTAGCCAATGATGAACTGTTTATTCTGTGCTGAAGTAATTATTGTATTAAGAAGAGAAGATTAGGATGGAAAACTAGCCTCACCCTATATAATAAGCTCATGGAACCTCAACACCAAGCTCTTTTTTCTTTTGAAGAAGCTCAGTTGCCTGGGACATAACTTTTGGCTGTTTACGAATCTCTACACCACCAGCCTCCATCACCCACAATCACCATCCAGCCGTACCACAATCACCAGTCTACAGGATCCTGGCCCATCACTCACCTGTTTTTCCAAAACCAGCCTGCTACGTAAGGTCACAATAGTTATAACCTCTAAGGCCTAGCAAATCATCTAACCCAAAGAACATAAAGGAACTAGGAAACAAAAGGAGGAATTACTGATGTCAATAATCACAGACTTAATACAGGAGGTCAAGCATTTAGGATTATGTTGACCTGAGAGTTCTTATAAATAGTCTATTAATGTTAGCAGGACAAATTATGAAAAAGTTCACTTACAGGTATTGGAAATTGTAAGGAGCCCTGTTGGCAAAAGAGTTAAGTGTCTGACAGCTAATTGCTAGGTAGCTGCTCTGCAGGACATAGCGGTCTGTACTCACCAAGATTCATAATATTAGAAATCTCATGAGGCAGCCTTACAGAGTCATTATGAATGGGAATCAACTAGGCAAAAGAGGATTAGAAACTATATAGAACAACATAAATGTTCCCACGTTACCTTTTACTTAATACAGTAATTTTTTAAACCATGAATTTAAAAGACCAAATATAACACAGTTCAAAAGGAGAGTTTTCAAAAGGGGTCTAATCAGTTATTGCATCTCAACAGAAATGTTCTTTCAACTCTGTACATTCTCAGTAGAAATCATCATGAAGAATGGATCACTTTTATTATTAATCCATTTATTAATTTTTAAACAGGAGACTATATTTAACATACAAGTGCAGTAGTGTCAAGTCCAAAATGTGTGTGTTAGAAGATTGAGTGCATTATGATTTTAGGAGACTAGCAGGAAAAGTTTGAAATGCCTTCTGTAGACTAATCCTCAGAACAAAAATAACGTCGCCATCCAATCAATGCCAATGCATAGTGACCTTACAGGAATCTCCTGCAGAAGACTGTTCCTGACACAGCAGCTAGTGTGCCCAAATGACTGGCATTTTGGTCAGCAGCTGCGTGCTGTATATACTGTGCCACCAGGTTTAGCAGACCAATCTCACTTAGAGGAAAGCAAGTGGCAAAATCTGGGAAAATTGAAATCCATCTATTAATATTTTACTGGAATTTTACACTGGAAAACTGCTTTGGAAACTGATAGGATATTTTGAAACATTAATTGATGAGGGATGAAAGGAAGGAGAGGAGAGAAAGGGGAATGCTGAAATGACCTTATAGAAAATTAGACACATTTGTCAAGTATATTGGAATCCCATTAACTGGCTAAGTAAAATGAACCTAAACAAAAGCATTAGTAGGCCCTGTATTCTTCTCTCTCAACTTTGTTTGAAAGGAAAATGACCTTGAAGCTACATTTTATTTGCCAACTTCAATTCTGAGCTTCCCATTAAGGCTTTTGCAATTTGTCATAACATTCTAATCAAAAGCTCAACTCTTTTTCTCAAATAGGATTTAGGCTCTTAAAAATATTGTGAGCTTTCTGAAAACTCATTTGTTTGAAAACTGATGCTTGGAACAACATTCTTCTGAAGTTTTGAGAAAAATGGCCCTTTTGGAACATACTTAATGCAGGTGTCACGTGTCCTCACCTTGACGTTGGGTTTTGACAGCAGTTTCAACAGCTCTCTGGTCTCGCTATTTAATGGCTTTTGCTGAAGCTCTTCCGCCAGCTGCAAGGGAGAGTACATCGACAGAACATTTAGTAAGACCACTGTTGTACGTGGTGTGTGACAACTTGAGAATCTGCCTCATTCAAGGCCTTCACTTTCCAGTGTTTAAAGAGAAGACAACACAAGAGAAAAGAAGCTATCATTGCACTTCTTTTTAGACCCTTAGTAGTCCAAAGGCAAACCCACGCTCAGGCTGAATACAGCTAAAGTAATTATATCAGTGATCACTTTCTGATTTATTGCAAGGAGGGCAAAGCCCAGCACTTCATTTATGAGGACGGTCTTCTGCACACAGACAAAGGACCACTTGTAAAAAGACTGGATCAAGCTTTTACACCCTTAAAAAAAACCTGAATGAGGTGGTGAAATCTACAGAGTTTCCAAAAACCCACAGTAGTTATGCTGTTGAGAGCTGGGGTAAAAAAGAATGAGAATACCCCTATAGAGCAAATGGCTGAGACATTTATGAATATTTACCTACAGAATAAAAATTTGTTAAATGCAAACCAAATTAATAAAATGACTTACAGGTTGACAATTACTTAGAAGAAAAAAATAAATGTGTCAAAAGTCTGAATCTGCCTCTTGGCCATTAAAAGATTTTCCTATAAGAATTGCTACTCAATTTTGGGCTAGAAGAGGAGGAGAATAATTTATATTTGAAGAAAACTAAGTCTGAAGCAGGAGTAAAAGGAAAATGACAATGAAATACATATAATTAAAACTATAGAAATTCATTTTTTATTAATATACATTGATTGAAACTTCTGGGTTTTTTACCCCTTGTTTCTAATTATTCTCATCTCTGTAAGCATACTTCTTCTCCAAAAGAAGGACATACTATAAATTATGCATCAAAAGTAATCATACATTCAATAATTAAGTTTCAAAATATGGCTTTTTACTTTTTCAAGAATATTTTTACAGAATTTTAAACTTAAAAAGAGCAAAACAATTCTTTGCATGCTTTAGTCATATAAAAAAAGCATTTCTTTTAAATGTGTTGCTCTTATAAATTATAAGGGGCACTCTATTCTACTATAAGCATAGATACTCTCAATACGTTTGAAAAGCAGTATCCTCATAATATACTTAAGTTTTAACTATATTGTTTTAGAAACAAGTTTTCTCTGACCTTGATAATAAATGTTTCAAGACTATCTCAAGGGGTACCTAAAGCTTAGTAGTGGAACTATGCCTTTGATCACCTTCACTTCAGAAGATTTGGTTTTATAATGCAGAAGCCAGCTTCCTTGCAAATCTCTATAGATAAATATAGATGATAAATATAGAAGGAAACTGCTTAGGAGTTAAATAGTATACAATCTGAGTGTTGACGACTAAGAATGCTTTGTTTTCAAAAATAGAATTTAAACTATATAAATAAAAATTAACTTCTGAAAATGACCACTTTTTAAATAAAGTATAAAGCACTGATAGTTCATTAAATTGTGTTACAGCTTTGTTTTAACAAAATAAGAGATTTTTTTTTTCTTTTAGCAACCAATAAGCTACAGAATATCACCAAAACTAGCTTTCACACTGAAGAGATTTCTAGTCTCGCTCAGTGTCCCTTATAGTTTATACAGGTGTGCTGTCAATTCATCCAAGTCTGAGAGTTAACAGCAAGAAACAGCAAGTTAGTTTAAAATAAAATTATAGCTACAGGAAATTAACTACTCCATCAATGCCAATTGCTCCTAAAATTTATTTTTTGGTTATGAAGGTAATTTGGAAAGGTTTAATATCCATAAATCATTACTATGCTTTATAATCCGTTTTTAAACACAATCCTGTCTTTTTATGTATTGCATGTGCCTCATTCCCCAAATAGTATCTGTCATTTTTTAGTACTGTCAGCGATCTAGCTATCTCATCTGTCTTTACTTCTCCAAAGCATTCCTCTCAGTCTGTGACTTTCTCGAAACACTAACAGCTGACAGCTCTACTCCCCACAGAGTCACAGCCTACAATTTCAATGACGCAGTTACCAGTCCTGAGCAAGAGGGTATCTACAGGCAAAATTTTCAGAATAGGAAAGTGAATGAAAAGCAAAATAATACCCACATAAGCTCACTGATGACAGAACTTTGGGAAACATTTGCAAGTTCTTTCTAATCCACCCTGAGGATTACATGCTCATGTCTGCGCTAGGATGAGCTCTGCCTGCAGACAGGTCTGGGGAGGACACGTCCTGGTGATCTCAGACAGGCACACTTACATCATTTGCCAAGGCTGCTGCTGAATGGAGGACAGGGACAGGGCTCTGCTTCTCATAGTAGTGTAGCTTTTCATGAATCTGGAAGGAAACCAAATGCATATAAGCTTACCTGCTGGCCAAAAATCCCAGACATTTAAGTATCATTTTTATATTTGTAAACAGTAACAAACCATTGCATGATTTAAATTAACACTCATGCTTTTGGAATAAACTACAAGCATCAAACATGCTTACATGCTTCATCCATGAACTAGTGCCTGGGGTTTACAACATTAACTGAACGGAGAGGGGGAAAATATCCCCATCAAATAGAATGTACATAAAAACTGAACCTCCTTCTCCAAAGTAAAAATGTTCTTTTTTTCTAAAATTTATTCTTCCTAAACACATTATTTTAATACTTCAAGTACTGGTTGAAGTTTATGTTTCTGCTAAAGATAAATTATTCTTAAAGTGATAACCTGGAAACCACGTTCTGAGGGTTTCAGGCATAAAAAGCTGCCAACAGTGAAGAAACTGGTGCTGGACTCGAATCTGCACCTACACCCCCTGGACACCTGTGCACGCATAGGGAAATCCTTCTGCATTTTATTCTTTTCCCTCCCCTTCTAAAGGAAACATTTCCAAATTTCTCATAACTTGAGGCATTTCTCATAAGCTGTTAGTTGAAATAAAGCATTTTCTTCACATTGTAAAACAAGAAAAAAATACATTATAAACAACTAGGTTCATCTTTAATTTCTCATTAGCACTACCCAAGAGAAGATGGTCTGTTTTAATGTACTGTGAAATAAATTGTTCCCTAAAAAAATTTAGGATTACAAAGAAATGAAAACTGCACCAGCAAATGTGCCACTCCTAGTAGTTAAATTCAATCAAGTTCAACTTCTAAAAAAGGTACATTTAAAAGTTTATACATGAAAGGTTACTTTAATCTCTTCCTCTTCTTTATAGTTGAAGAAAACTGTCTTCCATAATATAGGAAAAACAGTTGCACCTCCCAATTTCCTGATTTTAATAGGTATCAAATAATGCACTCTTTAATTATACTCAAAGCCAAGCTCTTTTGTGAAGAGTCTGGAAGATAGATTTTCTTTTGATTAGCCAGATGCTATTGCTAAGAGAGGATTGTGTTACCTTTTTTGGCTACCTGGTACATAATGCAAAGCATCAGGGAAAGAATTTTGACACTTATGATATTACCAGAATGATCTGGAGCAACACTTTTAGATCATCAATTGGAACCTTTAGACATTGATCACATTATGTTAAGAAATAGATTTTAAATAAGACAAGCTCGAACTGAGTAAGATGTGTCTTGAGAAGCTATTAAGCTATAATTTAAAACAAAAACTCATACCGAAATACACATAACTAAAGTCTAATTTTATTCCATTTAAACAGTTACCAAGAATTAGGTGATATTCCCATATAACACTGAGGTAAGCCTATCAGAAACTCTATCTAATTTTTAATTACAATTATTTGTTTTCGTGTCTGCTTCCCTGTTAAAATAATCTGAGAGGCTTCTCTTTGTGAGGTGTTTACCAAGTGCCTGTATTACCTAATAATTGTTATTAGTAGTATTTGTAATGATGTCTTTAATAACTTCAGTATCTTCATTCCTTAACAAACACTAAGAAGTACAATCACCATCACCCTCACTTTAAACAGTGACACCAGACATTTGTACTTTGCTGTGATCCTACAGCAAGAAGTGCTGAGCTGGGATTAAAATTTAAGTCACCTGGCTTCGTAGAGTAAGATCTCATCTTTGTTCTGCACTGATTTCACTTTATGCTTCATGAGTATGATCCATTTACACAGCGTAGAAAGCACTCGGGGCTGATGTAGAACAAATGTTCATGATAGTTTTCAGTGACTGGAGAATTATGAATGGCTTCTCCACCTCTCCCCCCTTACATTTCTCCTTCATGTTCCCTAGTGTGTCTATATTACTCTCTATTCTCATTGTTACCTAATCAGAACTGACTCTTAGCTGACCCTTCAATGAGTTCTCAGAGGCTGTAGGTCCCCAAGAGGAGACTGTCCACCTTTCTCCCGAGAAGCAGCAAGAGGATATGAACTGCTCACCTTCTGGTTGACAGAGCAACTCCCTACAGACCAGGACACAAACTCCATTAACTTGCATTAATCCTATAACTAAACCTAAAATCTTACACCCCAGAAGAACATGTTATTTTCCCACTTCGTCTGTATTCAGTTGTTTCCTAAACATAAAAGCAGTCAACTCCCCTTTCATGCTCATCTTCTCTCTTCTGCAGGGCCTCAGCCCAAGCCATACAACTGCGTGCTCCTGGACTTGGCATGAGTTTTTAAAATGTCTTCTTTGAATGTCAAGATGCTGATGACGTTATAGCAATACATGTTTTACTTTGTTGCATAATTTAAAAAAATGAATCACTGTGCTCACAGCCATCATGTGGGAACCTGCTCAGAGCCGACCCTCCGGAAGGTTTTTGAGATGATGCAAATCGCAAAAGAGGAGACTGCGCATCTTTCTTTCATGGAGCTTTTGGTGGTTTTGAACTGTCAGAGAGGTGCTGCCTTTGGGTTAGAAGGGTAACTCCTTATGGACTATGATCCTAGAGCTCCCTAAATTAGTGTGAAACTAAGAACTGCTGCACTAATTTTGAACTGTTGACTACCTCCAAAAACACCGATACTACTTAATTTATTTAAATTATAATTTATAGTATCCAGAGAAGGGGGGAAAAACACTCATCTACTTAAAAATTCTAATGTAATCTGGTAGAATTCTTGCCTTGTATATCAGAGATCTGGGTTTGATTTCTAACCAGTTCAAGTCAAGTGCAACTACCACGAGTCTGTCAATGGAGTCGACTGATTTATGTTTTACTATGATGCTGAACTCAGAGACTGTAATATAATAACTGGAAAAGTAATGAAAAGAATTACTCAGTATGTTTGTGTATTGTTTTACATGCCTGTGAAATCTGTCAAGGGAAAAATGACAAAAGAAAAATTGAATTATATGTTGGTGGAAAATACAGTATATTAAATATGCCAGAAAAAGTAGGGGGGAACCAACAAACAACAAACCAACAAGACTTGCAAAAATAAAATGAAAATAGGAATGCTCTTAGAAGTGTCAACAGCAAAGATCATCACTAGAAAAAAAGATGCATGTTTCATAAAATAGTTGTCATTGTTAGGTATCATTTGAGTTAACAATACTCATCATGATCCTTTGAATAACAGATCAAAACCTTGCCCCATCCTGGGCCATCTTCACAATTTGAACCATGAAAAAGGACATCATGTTCGGAAGGGTGGAGGGACAGTGCAGGAGAAGAAGACCCCAGATGAGAAGGCTTGATACAGTAACTGGGACAATGAGAGTAGGTGTGTTGGAGTCAGACTTGTTCAGCACAATACAGGCTTCACAGCTGCTGTACATAGGATCACTATGAGTTTCATGGGACTCAATGGCACATCATAAACAACAACAACAACATTGCTACATCAAGAAAACAAAAATTATCTTAACTGGACCAACAGGCAATTATGATGGATGGAAAAAGATTGAGGAAAAAGCTTCAAGGTTTCTTTTTACTTGGATACCCAACCAAGACACAAAGAAGCAGCAGTGAAGAAAACAAAACATGTAGGTTAAAAAAAAAAAAAAAAAACATGTAGGTTGCTGGGGCTAATCTGCTGTCCAGGACTTCTTTAGTACTGAATTGAAAGAATTTCCATTAACCCAAGGTATTCTAAGTTGCTTCATATTCACATGAAATTTGGACAATGAATAAGAAAGATGTAAGAATAATCAATGCTTTTGAATCATGGTATTGATAAAGATTACCGATTATACTAGGGATCACCAAAACAACCAACAAATCTTGGAAGAAGTGCACACAGCGTTCCTTAGGAGCAAGGATGGTGACACTTCATCTCACATACTTTGAGCATGATGTCAGAAGGGGCCGGTCATTGAGAAGAGACATTATCTCAGGTAAGGTAGAGAGGATCAGTGAAAGAGGAGGCCCTTTAATGAGTCTGATACAGTGACAGCAACAATGGACTTCAGCTAGGCGGAGACTGAGGATATAGCCCAGCAGAGGCAAGGTTCCAATGTGTTGTTCAGAGTGAATAAGAGTCATAGTTCACTTGAAGGCATCTATCAACAACAAGCAATAGTGCTTAACCTGTAATTGGTATTTCCCGTCACACAGACACCTGCTAGCCTAATGCGTAAGGAGGTGTGCTGCTCACATGCAGTTCAAATCCACCAGCAGCTCTGATAGAGAAAGACAGGTAATCTCTTCCCATGTGATTTAAACCTTCCAAAACCCCACTGATGGGTCAGCTATGAGTCCGTTCTTACTTGATGGCAATTAAATTGGAGGTTTTCTGACTGAGTTTCTAAGGTGTAATCTTCATGAGAGTGGATTTTTTTTTGTTATCAATGTAACATCTAATGCACAATGCCACATGCTGTTGAGTCCAGAATGCCTAAAACATTAAACCAAGACAATAACTCAAAATAAAAAACCACCCACTGCCTGGCAAGTTCTTCCACATCCATAGGGGCTCTCAATCAGGTTTCCGAGGCTGTAGATATTTATAGAAATAGACTGTTCTTCATTCTCCCTAAGGACAGCAAACTTTCAGTTGGCAGCCTAACAATAAGTAACTACACAACCAGAACTCTTTTCCTTAACAATTACAGCCTTAGGAACCCTCGGGAGCCGTTCTACCCTGTTCTGGAGGGTCACTATGAGTAGGAACCTACACAATGATGCACAAAAAAAACACAGGACAAGATAACTCAAATTACTTGTGTGACTAGTGGAGCTAAAATGAAAAATGACTAGCATATCAAGTGTCATTGTTGTTGTTGTTAAGTGCCGTCGAGTCGCAGGCGACTCACAGCGACCCTATGAAGGAGAGTCCTCAACGCTTGGGTGCCTTTCATCCTCTCTCCAGGTTGATAGGGTTTCTGGAGGCAAGCTATTACGGAAGCAGATGCCACTCCTGCTTCCAAGCAAAATTCAAGTAAATTATGAAATAAAAAATGAAAAAGGCATTTT